GCGGTTTCATCATCATCATCAAAGACAGCAACATCAGTGTTGCCACTGACGCTTCACTCGCGGTTTGCGCCATCCTGAAGGAGGCGTGGAGAACAACACTCGTCTCGGTAGACGGTATTTCGGCATGCGTAGCACACGACCGAGCCATCGCGGTCGATGATGCTGGATGTTCTCCCGGATGGAGGTGTTTGCAGAACAACCAAATACCCGTTTTCTAATCGCCTCGTTACTGAAACGCTGACGCCATCCACAACCAACCACGCTTCTGAGGCATCGGTGGCCGAAAACCTGAAGACGCCTCACATCATATGTCCGCAGAGGCCATGTCTCGCACCCATACAAAAACATAGCCCTTATTGTAGCCTGGCACACGACCCTTAAGATCCAGTGAGGTGCCTTTTTGACGCCACAAGTGACGCAAATTAGCAGACGTGATTCGAGCCTTTGAGATTCTCGCACTGACTTCATCAGAGCTAATACAACTACCGAGGTATGTGGAGTTTTCCACAATCTCCAGTGATTCCCCTTGAATTGTAAGGGATATGTTCGCAGATGGCGCGTTGTGAAGCATGACTTTGCAACTTGAAAGTGCAAGGCGCATGCCTAAAAATGGTATGACGGCGGTCAGTTTATTCAACGGGGTTTGTGTTTCGCTATGGTGTTCAAAGATGAGGGCAATGTCATCTGCGTACTCCAGATCGACAAGGCTCTCGTCAGCAACAATTTGGACACCAGAGTCTTGAAAACCATCCAGTGTTCGCTTCATTATTTCATCAATGACGAAGTTGAACAAGAATGGGGATAGTGGACATCCTTGTCTGACACCACTTTTTGCCAAGTTATACACTGTCCGTCTCTCGATCGTCTCCACTCAGAAAAGGGCCGCGCGAAAAGAGCTCTGCGAGGCAGACGGTCTTCTGGCATGCGCAACACACGTTGTAACCAGCGTAACCTATGAAGCGTGGGTACCTCTATCGAGGGAGAGTCTCTCTTTCCCAGGACCATCTGCCGTACCTTAACATTACTGATCCGGTGTTCCCATAAGACCAGACCAATGCTTCGGATACACCGATGGTCAAACGCTGGCATCTTTCGTATGTGTAGGGCGCATGCCAAACCGTGAGGCAAAGTTATGTAGGTTATTTAAAATCATCTGCATTTGGGCAAGATCTGAACCAAGGAAGGCGACATCGTTCGCATACTCAGTATATGTCAGGAAATGTTTCGGGAGCATTTCGACTCCCGAAGTTTCAGAGGCAGGCAAAGAAATTTCCAGCTGCACATGAACAATAAAGTCAAACAGGAGTGGTGAGAGAAGGCAAGCAAAAGCTGCCATATACTCGTACGCACCCACAGGAGTTCACATACAATACCACCATAAGAGATATGGATTTCGAAGGGCTATTTTTTATCACCAGACATTGCCAATTTCTGATTAACAGAGCCTAAACCAGCATTCAAATAAAAAACGATCACCATAGGGCGTTTGAAGGAGTGGAGCTGTTTAAGAATTTGTCTCAAGGTAAAGACATGGTTGATGCATCCTCGGCAAGTGCGAAACGCAGCTTGGTCCTCACGGATGTCTCTCGCGATAATCCATCAACGTGCACAAAATAATGCGAGAGAGCACCTTAGATGCGACGGATACAAGGCTGATACCACGAGGGTTTCCACATGACGTTCCTTGTGCCTTTTTGAAAACTGGAATGACGGTCGAACGTTTAAGCATTTACTACAAAGGACCACTCCCTTCGACGACTCGAAATAAAAATCTACTGATGGTCGTAGTCGAGTACTGCCGTTTCCCGCTCGCCTATCCTTGTCTATATATAAGGTCGTCCAAGTCGATACCACTTCTTATGCCGTTCTTTCTTACATTTGGCCTGCCCAGCCCGATGCATTCGGATCACGGATCACCATTCATTTCGAACGAGATTAGGCTAGTTCTTCGAGAAAAAAAGCGTTGCAACCAGCCGAGCCACTCCATACAGCCCAAAGAGGAACGGTTAAGTCGAACAATCAAATGAAACATCGTGGAAAGCTATTTCACCTTCATTACGATCAAAAAGTCTTCACATCGGTCACTGAGAAACCATCTAACATGACCCACTCCGTTCTATTAGTTGTGCACTACCACCAATGCCACTCCACGAGAGTTGTGTCATCAAAATCGAAAATCTGCGATCGGCCCACCATTGCCCCAGTGACTGTTTCGCCGTGACTAGTTCTGATGCGGCGAAATACACGACCTTCAAAGTGGACCCCGTAGTCTCAGAGGTTAAGCTCCTGGACTGCAACCCTGAATACACAGTCCGACACCCTAAATACATGGAGGAAACGGTCTCACTACGTCACCTGGAGCCTCCTGCAGATTTCGGATGCATTTCACCATCCAAACAGCAGCAGTCTCACCCCAATAATGATTTGTCTATTACGCCGGAAATATCTGACTTATCTGCTTCGGAAACTGAAATGTCGAATTTTCCGAACAAGCTGGCTGTACAACAGCGAACACGACCGTATTTCTTGCGCAACAGAGAGGTCTGACATTATTCAATTATGAAACGAACTCCTGTGAGCATTTATACACACAGGCAGTAAATGCTGTTTTTTTTAAAGCGTTTCATCGTTCCTGTTAGGAGGCACTCCTCCTACGAACATATTGCTCACATTCCTCTCTCTATATTTCAGCCTTTCATTGGACTGTTTGTTCCATTCCATTCCTGATTCTTCGAATCTCGATAGTGGCTGTTCAGTTGCCGCAGTATAATTTCCTCAAGACTTTTTTTCTTCTCAATTTCGTGTGTAACTGACAAGGTTGATTGACTGATTAGTAGAGAACATAACACTGGCGACGGGAACCCTTCACGAACCCAAGAATGTCAATTTCAGCTGAGGATTTGAAATCAACCCTTCAACAACAACAAGCGCAATTTGAACAATCGCAGTTGCGACTTATCCAGTCTCTCACTCAAGTCATCAATCTCCAAACTTCAGTTTCATCTCAAAGTGGTAGTTCACTATCCTTTGCGGATTCCATTGCTGCAACTATAACTGAATTTCACTATGAGCCAGCATCTGGTCTCACCTTTGATTCGTGGTAAAGCCGTTGGGAGGATACATTCTTGAATGAGTTCATCGGCAAAGATGATGCGTGGAAATCCCGTCTCTTGGTACGGAAACTTGGAACCTTCGAACACGACCGGTTCACCAACTTTATCCTTCTACAACACCCAAAAGATTTGCCTTTTGCGCAGACGGTAGACCAACTTCGCGAAATTTTTGGTGACCAACATTCACTTTTTAATGTCCGATACAACTGTCTCAAGTTGGCCAAGCGTGA